TGAGCACAAGGAGAACTAAACAAATGCATCAAAGTACTGAAAAACCCTAAATCACCATCCAGCTGGTGAAGAAAGTCTTTAGTTAAAATGAAGACTATATTAATAAACAACTAATAAGCAACTGACTTTTTTTGTTTCAAATTACAGATGAGAAAGTAATTCAAAGCAATTCTTTCTGAATGTTCTAGATATATTAACAGCAGATAGAGTGTTGAGGACTCATATCAGCTATGACAATATCCGAAACTAAGTTTATGAAATAGTTAAAAAGCTAGGAGACTTACAATGAAACTAAAGAAAGAAGTACTCATATCAATACCTAATAAAAGTGAAGAAATATTCTTTAACATATATTTTATCTTACATCAACGTTAAAGGTTAAAATGTACCTGCTCTGTAAGAAAAGATTTACTTTTGTAACAGTATAAATTCTTGACTTCCAGAAACTATATTCTATTGCCACTCTGCCATTATTTAACTGAGTGGCATGTCATTTATCCCTCAGGCGTGGGTTCCTTACTAGTAAAATGAAAGGACTGGACCAGAGACTCCCTATGGTGTTTTGAACTGTAAAATGCCANCTAGTAAAATGAAAGGACTGGACCAGAGACTCCCTATGGTGTTTTGAACTGTAAAATGCCAAGCTTATGTCTCCAAATGCAATAATAAGTCATAGTTACATGGTTATAAGCAAGCAAAGCTAAAACAAAGAACGACTCTGGCAGAGGTTACATACATAATTACATTAATTAGTCTTTCAAGTAATCACTTTTAATAAAGTACTCAGAATAACTTAAAAAACAAGTAGGAGTCCTACGGGTTGATGTGCTTCTTCTGCTTTCATCAAGTCCTCGTAGACTTCTCCACCTTCATCTTCCCCATAAACACAGTCATAGAGATCTTCTTCATCATCCACACGGGTTTCACTAAACAGAGGATACAATATAAAGGTCATTTCTTATCATGCAGTAAATGCAGTAGCTACAAATAGCCTATTGGATTTTAGTAGAAAATCTAAAGAGGAAATAGAATGGAATGGTGAAAAGAGTCAAAAGGCCTGCATTACAGCCACATACCTCCTAATGAGAACTATGACAGACAACGACAGAATCCGACAACAAAGGCAGCGGTAGCTGATGTGAACTGAGTACTTATTGTGCATGAGCACACAAATCATCATTCAGTTAATTCACCTAGCATTAATTGTCTTATCAAGTATACATGTTATTTGATACATTAAAGAGATGAGGAATTTGAGAGACCAAAGAGCGATTTTTTTTTTTCCTTTTTGTCTTTTTTCGTGTCCAGCAATGGATCACAGCCCTCAGTGTCACGCCCGTACCGGACCGGGACCGGCAACGGGATCGCAACCCTCAGTGTTGCTCCCACACCTCGCTCAGCCAGTGAGCGGCCGGTCTGTATGTGGGATTCGAACCCTCAGCGGGAGCGCCGCCGCACTCCCAAGCGGCATACTGTAGCAGTGCGCCACCGGGCCGGCCCCCAAAGAGCGATTTGACTTGACACAGCTTGTAGTCAATGGTAGACAAAAGATT